GTACCAATTCATAAAAGTATCTGAATCTCCAATATCCCCAGCGATTGCTATATGATCAGTATATTTTACAAAAGAATTGGTATTCGATCCATTGTTATTTAACACTTCCCTCAAGTCATCATTTTCACACTGTCCCGATGTGTATCCAGGCAAAAACAAGCCTTTATATTGTGACGAGTCAATAATTGTATGAAACAAATTCCCCACACATGACTTGATTACTCCAAAAACAATTTTTCCATCATAATCAGTATAAGTAGTAGGTTCCAGAAGAATGTTATCAAACCCAAAAAATCGGGAAACCCTTTCACAAACTTCATACACGTCAACTACTTCTAAAGCAATGTCAAATGGTCCATCATGTTTTGTAAACCAGTTACTGATTTCTGAATGGTACTTAAATGGGTGATAAACACTGGACAATGTTTGGATTTTGCTAAGCATTATTACCGATTGATTACTTTTTAGCACTAGATTTATTTCTGAACCACATTTGAACAAACAGTGGAGCGTGAAACCGAAACCTTTTATTAGTGTTTTACAAGTCTGCCATAAACTGTTGGTAGCGAATCGAACATGATGAACATTTTTCAGTAAACTCATGTTTCAATTATACCTAAAACAGTAAAAGTTTCAAAAAAATTATTACAGATGACAGACTTGTGTACAAAGAGCAGTTATATGAAGAAAAATAACAAATAAACAGTCCAATGAAAAAATCGTCGTGTAATATTTTGAGTAAACGTAAGCAACAGGGTAATGAGCATTCGTTCAAAAAGGTTGAAATAAATCTTAAAAATTTTAAAACAATACCCACCCCGAGGTTTCATGCTTACTACAGTTAAACGCAAGCTCCAAAATCAGACTAAAACACGCCATCGATCCATGAACTATCCGCTGGTTTGTGATAGAACAAACTACTGATGGAATAGCTGAAATTTGGGAGGTGGTAATTAAGTATTGAAGATCCTTGACAATATAGCTGAAATTTATTCTCAATAATAAGAATTTGAAATATCTTCACATAATAATACACCTGAATACACTATTATATGCGGTATATATTCACACCTATTTCATTTGATTCTATACGGTTTGTCACCACAAGTTAAAAATATGGACAAAATTTTGTATTGTTTCTAGCCAGATTGATTTACGATTCGTCATACTTGATTCACATCCTTAGGCCAATTACTCGGTAATTCTGATAAACTTACTTCAGTGTAAATTTCTTAACTAGATCCTTGTAGTTATTTGTAGATTATTTCTTTTGCAAATCCATGATGAGATCTTGAGCAAGCTGAGCCATGGACGGCCATTAAAAGCCTTAAAGTATACTGAATAACTAAAACGATTAATGAGATATATTTTGGGTGTCTTTATTTTACTTCTAGTATTCTGAAATACCCGTGATCAATACTGTGGGTACTACGTTGATTTTAAGGACGTTCACAGAACATGTACAAAATGATACAACAATAACTCGTTTAACAACACTGAAGGATCAAGATAAAGACAGGAAAAACATATCAGCCAGAACAAGAGTCGCTCGAGAGTTCCTATAATGGTCCGTTTATTACATCAGATAGAAAATAGGTAAAGTGAGATTATTATTAAGAAAAGCACTAGTGTAGTTAAACGAAACTTCCCCATGCTTTTTTCTTAACTGGGGTTTTTAACGCAATTAAGGACAATAGCTTCTCTGAAACCGAAATCACCTTTTAACTGACTGTTCAACTCTACAAATCCCGTTTTACCAATGAAACTACATGCTTCCAGTATTTTGGCAGCAACAAATCAAATCAAAATGTATAGGACAGAAGCAGAAATAATATGGTATTTCAAGGGCCTTCATTTTCCAACTTCGGAAAACTTTTATAACTCCAAAAATACGATTTCGTGAGAGACCACTCCTGCATTACTAGTCTGCTGACTGGGGTGGATAGGCGGACCACCATCTTTAATCCTAAGGGGAAGGCAGAGGTAATTTATCTCGATTTTTCAAAAGCTTTTGATAGGGTCAGTCATACATGTGTTATCAGTAAGCTCAAACTGATACGCATCAAGTCACCACAGATTGATATAACTTATATTCACAAAGTCGGATTGTCAAGCTCAGGATAAAATTTAACTTTTCTCTGGCCACAGAACGTCTTAATGAACCCCTCAGGATTCGGTACTAGGACCTCTTTCCTTTCAAACTTATAAGAATGACCTTCCTCTACAAGTATCGTTCGAGATATTCGTCTTCGCTTACTATGATATGCTTTGGAGAGACATTTATAATCGGGATTATATGCTGGGACTTAAGAAAGACTAACAATACAACTTAGGCAATTACCTCTAAATGTTCCAGGTCGGAAAAGATCGTTACCAACTTACGTATCGGCAAATAGGAGGTGATCTTTTAATGACTTGTAGCATCCTGAACATTTAGACACCCTTAAATATATCTACTTAGGTCCAGTCCCGACACAAATCTGAGGATTAATAACCAGAAATTATAGGTACAACATAGAAAAATATACTGTAGACACACCCTATGATTAATCAAGTCCTGGAATTCGCTACCTACTGAGGTGGTCCAAACGATCTTCCAGGAGTCATTCAAGAGGAAACTTGATATATTCTTAAGGGCTCATGATAGCATTTTGCACTAATTCAATAATACTTATCTACTGCTTGTTTAAAATACCTAGGTCTCCATCTGGAGCACCGCTGATCCATTGCTACTAGATACAAAAGCCTGTTTGGCAAAAGCCTTTTTCTACTCTGTCCATAACCATCTAAATAATTTTACATGAGTAAGGAGCCTAATTAAGTTGATAGACAGGGTGAATCAAAAAAGTCACCATAATTTATATTAATGCTTCATAAACACTGAACAAGCATAAAATCTTCAAGTTGTCAGTCAGATAAACGAACAAGAACTTCTAAAGTAAATAAATACATGCAAACAACTACCCGAAGTGATAGAGAAGTCTGAGGGAAACAAATAAACTGGAAAATGAGAATTTAACTAGTCAAACCACCTAGATTAAAAATTTTACGACTTAATAACTGGGCCTTGCTACTGTACGAGATCCCAGTTGCTTGAGATCAACTGTGGAAAGTCACTCAGATATAGTGAGATATTTTATAATGTAGTGACTGAGCAATAATCTTCTTTCTACAACCCAGGTGCAAATGGGAAGTAACAAACGGTCTGCTGTTTCTGCCCATCGATCACTGGTTACTAAAGTATTTGAACAGATCCCAATAAAAGTCCTGTAAAACAACATGTAATAGAGAGGTTAACCTCGATCTCTCGATTTTGGGTTCTTCTAAATATATCCGCAGAATTTCCAAAAGCTTTTGGGAAATCCATGTCATCTTAGATTAACACAGGTTCACAAACCTACTATCCTTATTACTGAAGACTGACAAAACCTCATATTTTTAGTACGTCGGGGAAATTCTTTATTTATTATAATCGTCACAAAAGGTTTAAACAATAACGTTCACAGAACTGATCAAGTGATTTCAGGGTTTTGCCCAATATCTGCCCAGACGTTAAGGAAAACCCTGTAATTCTCCATGATCCGGAGATTGAGACGTGTATAGTTGGATTGAAAAAACATGTAAGGGAGTACAAGACCGGGAGTGACACAAACAAATGGCAAGGAAACCCGGAATGCTGGGAATAAGTAGAGGCAGGACACCCATCTCGTAACTACGGCTGACTCCAACAAACCTCTTTTCAGTGTAAGAAACATAAATTACTGATAGGACTGAACTTTACTGCAGATCCAATGAACGTTTCAATTTCTTAAAGGTCACAGTACTTCTACACGTTCTAGTGCCAAGACGACCTTGGGCAGATTCTGAGCCAGTATGTGGACGAGGAACCGCACCATAGCGCGACCTTGAACAACTTACAGGATGACCTTGGTGTCAATTAAAAGTGACCAACCACAGTACGGCCTATCGTCATGGGCTTCACAGCGCAGACAATTAGTAAAAGCACACCAATATTGAACTTACGTGTGCTAAATTTCGATGACTAAGACCTTAAATCACTGTTTTATATTCAAGCAAGTCCAAAATCCCTAGTCCAGCATCTCTTAGACCTCAACTGTTAAACCCAAAAACCTCGACACTAATTCCTAACGTTAAGACCCCATATCCCAACTCTGAATCCTTACGTATTGACCCTAACACTTTATCTCATCAGGAAAACGTCGTCCAATATTCTCTAAATGCTCACTGTAATGAAAAAATCGTGAAACAGCAACGGTGTATCTGCAACAGCGTTTTGGATTCACTTATCAGTTAACTTTATTCTGACTGAACACAATTTCAGCAGTGTCATCTAAATGAATGATAGCTTCCTGTCCTCCAAGAGATAAATGCCTATGTACTTTCTACATAATTGATAAGCTATGCATTTGAGCTAATTTGATATGAAATAATGGAATTTTGATATCTGAACGAATTTTAAAGAACTATGACAGACAGTCCGTGATTTATTAAGAGCTTTCGAAGGATTTGTTTGAGCGTATGAATAACTATCTACTGAAAATGATAAACATAGCGGGTCTGAAGATATATCTTCAGTCCCATTGTTTATAAGGGATGAAACTGAGCAATTCCTAAGATAAATACGACTTATTTCCTTAGGTAAAAATAAACGAACCAGCGAAACCAATATTCCATGACATGTCAACACGATTTACCGACCTTAAGATTCACTAGGATGTCCAAAGAACTATTTCCATGAGCATCTAATATTATCACTAGAAATGGAAAAGGATTTAGCCTCTAGGGCTGACCTAGAAAGCAGCTTTTGTAGGTGAAAACACATATTCGTTCAGTTCAAGATCATTCTAAAACAAACTCTCCCTATGTACTAGAGAACTATTCTCACCAACAGTGAGCCAGCCTTGACATTACTGACGTTAACTATGTTATTGAAGATGGCAGGAAGACAGATTAACTTCGTTTGCAGGTATAAGAATAGCTGGTTTGGATATACTTTTTTAATAACAAAGTCTGGGAAGTCAGAGTATAAAAAATTGACTTTACTATTTTATGACACATAAAGGGTAGAAAAGAAAACAAATCATTATAAATCTGACTGGTTGAAGGCTAATTTAGCATCACAACAATCAGTTAGATTAGTCATCAGACCAATCATCATTACGTTTGGAACCTTTTTTGTTCTTTCTCTTGGACTTATTTTTGTCTTTCTTCTCAACAGAAACTGAAGCTTCAGATAACTGAGTAATCTGATTGTCATTCGACTGCGATGAAACATTTTCATCTGGAACATTTTTCACAACCTTTTTTTCCCAAACTTCTGTTTTTACTGTTAAAGCAGAGTTTAACTTTGTGCGTCCTTTGTGACTACACTTCGTACCATCGGAAATTTCTATGGAATATTTACCCTTTATTTCGTTGTGGAGAAGTGTTTCAATAGAGCCATATTTCTCAGGTTCAACAACAGCAGTCTTAAAAGTAAAAAATGAAGCTTCTTTGAGTACGACAAAATAAAACACACTAAATATACTAACATGCTAACAATATGGGAATTCGAGTTGATTTAGCCTTTAAGATTTAGTGTATGTTTACGAAAATAGATGCAATGTAGTCTCAATCATAAACGACCCAGGACCTGAAACAAATATGCATTAGTTCAAGTTTTCAAACGTTCCATCCGTACACCAAATGATCGACAGTGTTAGTGTTAGTGAAAACTAAAAATATAGATGAACTGAAAAGTGGGTTAATTTGGAAAATAAAAATATCAACTAATATCAAAAATTATAGACGGCTAAAAATTGAATGCATTCCGAAATGTTGTCAGTAGTTCTCGCGAACTCCAACCAAGCGATTCAACCTTGCGACGTGATACAGTTCGACACCCAAATTCGACCTGACCATCTTAGGTTTCTTCTATTTTACCACAACATTAACACTTTTACATGTTGAGATACGTAAGAGCAAGACATATGCGAAATGCCTCAAAAAACCCTACAGTATGACTAACCAACAAATTAAGTTTATCTAGTACATGGATAACTTTAGCATTACTCACTCAGGAGGCACAGTACATTTTAACAACGCACTTAGTACATCATGTAACCCAAGAATGTACAGACTCAATGAAACATGCTATTATGCAGTTATATGATAATACACGAGACTACTGCACGGTATATGTATTTTGGACAAGCAAGCAGACGTATTGTACGAGTCAAACGTATCGAAAGTTGGTGAATCCATGCAAACCTTCTGCATGTATTGATGCGTCAGTCACAAATCCTACATATTCCTCTAGGTTGAGCGAAGTCAAATGAATAATCACTCTCAAATTTTGTACGGAAGCTTCGATGACATGAGATAGTTCTATAGTGTGGGATTCTACAGTCGTGGTCAGTAAACTATACTGTATTATTTGAAGCATGACTTGAACGTTAATATAGCGTTTAGTTTACGGCACATGTTGGGGATAAGGTGAAGTATGATGTCAAAGCAAAACGTAAAAAATACTCCGAAAGGATGAAGAGGAATGTTTATGGATAAAGTGTGCGAAAATACCGTCAAGCCCAAGCGGGATGTACACTTTCCCGTATTTGACACTAGGGGACCCTGAATATGGTATCGATGGTTATGTTAGCTTGGGAGGGTGGTTATATATTTCAAAACATATCTGACTGTATTCGGTTACAAATTGCAATTTTGTGATACACTTAATGATGTACCAGCTCCACATTGTAGAACTTGAAGTGTACTGAGCCAGCCATCACTTTTGTCAACGTATACATATAGCTAATGTAGATTTTGACGTAGACGAAAGGAAATATCAAATTTGTGAATGAGACAGTAAATTTACATGTCGTATGAAGCGACCGATCAACCATCATGATGATACTAAATAAACTGCTTGGGTTTTGTTTACCCTCCAGTTTAGGGAACATAACACATCTATACTAAACTAAGTGTTACTTTTAAATAATAATGGTTCAAATGGTGAGAGATGGAATAGCATTTTTCTCTTGACAGGTTTCCTTATCTAATAGCAGTGGATCATCGGTTCTTCCAGATCAGAACCTAGATAAACCCGACGATCCAAAGAGAAATGCTGATATACTATAGTGGGATACTGTCCTGAGCCATTAAGAACATATCAAGTCTCCTCTTGAATGACTCCTATGAGGTCGCATGGACAACATTAGCCGTCAATGAACTCAGGGAATCGACTACTTACAATGTGTAAGAAAGTTTATAGATACATAAAAGTAGAAGTTCAATGTCATAAAAAGACGGACGACATTGGATTGGTCGATAAGGTTTATCGAACATGATAAATCCAAACTAACCAAGTCGTAAAGTCCATCGGATGATTCACCTTGTTGTACGATATTATTGCATAGTTGCAAAAGTCTCTCGATAACAGGTTCATATGAGTCTTTCTGTATGGTAATATTCACTTCCATCATTGAAGGAGCAATTTTAAATCCAGGAGCCGACCTTAATTGTTTGATTACCTCTAAAGCCTGGAGCGACTCGAATTGCTACTCAACTTACATGCTGTTTAGCACTTTTATTAGCCTTCAGGGATATGTGACAATCTTTCATCATCTTTTCTATCATCGTGACAGTGTATGCCCGGTTGTTTTCAGGGTTTACGCATCTTTCAGACACTATTTTAGCCACATCTCTAAACAAAGCCTGTTGTCCTACAAGGCGTTCCTTTTCTGTGAGTTGTATTTCTCCATGTTCTAGTATCTAAAAACTTGGTATATTTTAAAAATATCCTACTGTCTTTATTATTTGTCTTTCATCTTCTGTGCCAAAATGTACATGCATTTCCTTTTTGTTAGCGAACTGACCCTTTGAGACATTTGTGAAGACACAATGAGCCTGTAAAACTTCATCTAAATTAGTTTCACTGCAGCGTAATTTGATAATTTATAACGTACAGCTTGTCTCTCCAAGCTTGCACTTTGTTTGGGTAACATGCCAACTCGTAACGATTACCACCTTTTTTAAGGCGAACTACAGATATGTTAGTCAACCGTTTTTGGTTTGTAGGAGTAAAGAGAGCCATCAAATAAAGTCTACACGATATCACAGTAACCGAGACTACAAACCATCCGCGCTAAAAATCGACGAGGTTCAGTTTTTGGTTATAAATGCATCAAATCCGTTCACTTGACTCAGTCCTTGAGGTTTCTTTGGACACAGTAGATAACGTTTGCACTCAACTAGCTTTAGCACCATTTTATCACAGATACCTCATAGGATATTATAAATATATTATTTATTTATAGAAATCTACCCAGTGTTCAATTTATTCAAAATAATCAAATCAAACCTTGGTAATGTTACTCATAGGAAGAAACAGTTTATTACACAGTTTTTGCGTTTGTGTAGTTGTAGAGCGTTGATGGCTGTGAAGAATTATGATTCTTGTTACACTCCCCCAGGAAGCTGAATGTCGAAAATACCTGATTATTAACTCAAGCGATATAGATGCAATCGTTACACCAATCCTCCTTTAGTGATGAGCGATCCCACAAAATAAAAATTCCTACGATTCTTTGATATTAATACTGACCTCGTTAGTTTAACTGGACACACCAAGGCTGAATGCGCTCGTTCACTCATCCGCCCCAGATCGCGAGTGGGTACTTCGTGCTTCACGTCACACGCAATCGCTGGCCAGCTTCGATTAGTCATTTTTCGATATATAGATATTCTGTCAAATATATTTTCGGGCATCCCTGCTTCTAAGGTCTGATTTCACTGGTTTTGCCCGTTTTGGTTATGAAAGGTGTTATTGGTCAGGGTGTTGTCAAATTCTGAATCCTTATGTCACCTTTAGGTTTAAGATCTTTCGACCACAAAGGTGTTGTGAACAAAAGCGCTGCCAAACCCTCGATGTCAGTGGCGTCTTTAGTGGTGGACAGGATGTAACCTGTTACTCCAGCCGATAAACTGATTTTTTTCCTTACAACAATATTTACACATACATTTACTCCATGAGACATTGATTTCGTGTTTCAAGCTTTTTTCGCATATTTATATATTCTCTCTTATCATGCCAGAAAGCATACTAAAACTAATAAGATCTAAGACTTAAGCCTCCCATCTTGCAATTCATGGTGATATGGCCTAACGATATCGAGGTCTAGTCCTACTACTCAGAAGCTGACATTCTGAGAACACTAAACAGATCCACGTTTAAAGTTCCCCGGTGTATTGGAGGCATTACCACGCGATTACCACATGTGCGTCTGCTGGTGATGTTTGCGAACCTTAAGACACTGAAAAATTTCGTCCTAAAACAGAGAAACCTGACCGACTGAAAAACTCCATAACAACTCTTCAGCAGTACCTAATTAAAAAGCGGCTCAGCAACAGAAATACTGCTACGTATACGGAAGGTAGCTGGACAACAAACATTTGATGAAGGCTTTTATATCTAGGCTTCCTCATCAGGTGCCAGCCGTTCTATTTCCATTCCAAAATGTCGCCACGGGCGAGCTAGCTGCATCTGCCTGCCGGATTCAGGAGATCACCGGGATCCCCAGCACCGTGGTTTGGTTTGTCGAAGGAAGGCTTCAAACTACACAAAATAAAGTCCCGTATTTCTGTTAGATTCTCACTTTTTAATATTCATCATAATGACAGATGCATCAAGTCTTCAATGAGAGGCCAGTCACGAAAAACATAGGTACCTGGACCACGAGAAACTTACAAATTGGAATGACGTTGGTACCACATCAATAAAGCAAGTCTTCTAGAAGCTCCGGGAAAATTGCAGATACATTGACCTCAAACTTTTCGTCACCACAAATCACTCAGTAATCGCTAACGACTGCCTGTAAGAACCTCTCCTCAACTTACAGGCAACAAGTTGAAAACCGATCGCCACATACGGTAAGAGAGATGGCTATTTCAATGTTGGTTTATGCAAACTCATTCACCGGATTTTTGCGGTTGCAGATGTTTTTGTGCCGATCATTGATATAAACCTATCAAAACCTCGGAAAAATGGAAGTTAGTAGACCGAAATACCAAGTTATCTTATAGTTGAATTCATCGGTCAATTTAAGCTAAAACATTATTAAAGAGCTGGAAGCACTAAACGTCCGTTTCGTCCTGGTACGGAACTCTTCAGCAGTGCACATCTAGGGCTTCCAGGTATTCAATGGTGGTCTAGCTTAAATTCGAATGGTTCAAATGGTTGTGGACGGAATAGAAGCTTCCGCTTAACAGGCTTCCGTGTCTAGTATCAGGGGATCACTTATGAATTCAACTATCAAATTACCACAATGCATTCGAAGTAAAGTGATTACCATTCCGGAATACGTCAAAACTACCATGGTGGACTAGTAATTTTTCACGGAGACGAAAGATGCTACTAACAGACCAACTCCTTAGTAGCGTGGAGATCACGGACATGAATGACGATGCAAATGATGGATTTTAAAAAGTGGAGGACAGTGTCAGTAACTCAGCCATACCGGCACAACTCGAAGTCAATGCACCAATCAATTCGCCAAAAACACACACAACTCAACATCTGAAGGAGTCTTGCGAAAATGAATAAACAACATTTGTCAAGCTTTGAGATCCTTGGGGCGGTTACGAGACAATGAACTGAACACTTCCAGCAAGGAGCTCCTATATATGTACTGTTCTGTATGACACTTTAAACACTATGGAAAACTGAGTATTCACCATGTTCACCGCATATAATCTGCTCACTTTTAATTTTTCGACGGTTGCTCGCCAAGTAGTCTCGATAACTAAACCAAAGTTCGAATGTGAACACCCCAAAATTACACACTTAAGTCCCTGATAAGAACAGAACTAAAGAAAACATCAGCAACGACCAACTAAAAGCCGATTACTTGAAAGGGTGTACTCGCGCAATCGAACTTTCCACTAAACGATCGAACGCAAAATCTTAATGACCACAACCCAATCCCTGATAATTAATAACCAAAACGAAACTTCATTGGTAACCGATAACCAGGCACAAACAACAGGCTCTGAAAGGCTTGAGAAGTTCTCAGAACAATTAAATACTTCTGGACGTCGGTTGTTTGCCCAGATTTATCCTTTTAACATCCCTTTCCATATTTTACAGCGAATTGGTTGCATTTCAATTTCATGAGTCAAAAGTATTCTGAACTGGTCGAAAATATCTGAGTATATAATATTATTCTTCGTCTCCAATATAATATAAGGAATGGAATGAAATATTTTTTTCTATCTAAGTTATGCTACGATAAAATGTTGCTACGATTATGAGACTAATCTTGATCTTTAGATGCAGGATTCACGAATCAAAATAGAGAATCGGATGAACGCCACATCATATTTTATTCAACACATTTACAAGCAGTCATGCTCAGTAAGTACGGAGGCGAGGAAATAACGTGTTTAGTGGTCAGTAGGTTGGACGCCTGTTTTTCAACCGTAAATGAACAATCATATTTCATATTCACCAACATATATCGGTATGCCATGTGTAACTTGTTCGTTTTCGCCTCTATACTTGCATGCCATTTTGCTTATTCATCCTCATTAAGCAGCAGGAGAATAATAAAAATGCGTAGATTCATTGGTTATTAACCATATGACTTTTGAGCCGAGCAGGCAATTACCGAAAAGATTTACATTTAACAATGGTGAAGGCGGGAACATTTCGAGATTCAATCAGATGGTATGGCTCAGTCTTGCAAGCGTGGTTATTCTTGTGTAACTTATCTCTTTTATTCACTCGAAATATGTTGTTCTACTCGCAACCAAAATGTGTTCTTTAGAGACACTAAACATTACATTGCTGATTGTTAAGTGACGAAGGATCGGAATAGACAATGATGTGATGTAAGATCCTATAGATAAATTTTTATATTGTGACAAATCTACAATTTTAGGATTAAGTCTATTACTGTAGCAGTACTGATAAGAAATTAAACCACAATTCTATAAATATACCGGGTCGAATGTCATTTCTTAGTTTTCTATGTATCAAGACCAGATCACTTCTTAATCCAAAGCAAGACAAAATAAGGAGGCCCAATTTCTGAAATATTTTGCAAAGGTCAACGCAGACAACATCCACTGATTTTTAAATATCAGACAACCTGGCTCATCTCGTTCTTGCTATTTGATGGTCATTTATTTACGATAGTTCTTTCTTAAAACCATGTTGTTTTTAAAAGTAATCTGACTTTTAAAGATTCATTCACTTTGCAGAAATCAATGTGGAACAACTCCTCATGTTTCTTGAAGTATGAGTTAAAGTAAGAACAGAATGCTCACTATTACCTTAGAAAGTCAAAAGAACCGCACAACCGACTGCCTACTACCAGTGGTATTGCATCTATGTAACCTATCACCCATCAACCGGTTAGAGTAGCAAAAAGTAATATTAGCACTAAGTTAATGTGAGTTCCCTGTCTATTTCTCATCAGCTTTCTACTATCCTGTACACTATGTTGGCTTACCATTGGCTTTATTTCATTACTCGATACCTTACCCATAACTCATATATTTCCATACATTTCTGCCTGCTTCTGTAAACAAATAACCAGCTCTATGCACTTGTTAATGCCTATATTTTGATTGGCTACACAGAATGGCATTAGGAAACTATGTCATACGCTCACTCGTTATCTTAGATTTCTTAACGAACCGTAGAAGGCCCACACACCCCGTGAAAAAACATTTCTCGTAAGCGATCTGTCTTTATACAATGAGAAGATAACTCCGACTATTGCTGATAACCAGTACGGAAAATCTTCTTGAAAATGCATTAAACCATGCAGTTTTCCGAGCTTAAAATCCACCGACACGAAAAAACGTCAGGAAACTTCCCAGCTGGCACGCGTTAACAGCAACAGTATTCGACAAAGTTAGCCGTCTTTTATAAGTCACAGATGTGATGACAAAAGTTCGCTTCCTCGATACTGGCGTAGAAGTTGGTGTTCTTCCGGCAATTTCTAGCAACCGACTGCACGAATCGGTTTTAAATTTACAGGCGGCAAACGGAAAGCCTATCGCCACATATGTTAAGCGGGTTGTTTATCTTAACGTGGGTTTACACAAACCCATTCACTGTATCTTTGTTGTTGCAGATGTTCCTATGCCAATCATTGGTATGGACTTTCTAAAACACCACAACTTAATTATCGGCACGCGCAAACGGAGGCTAGTAGACGGAAACACTAATTTATCTGTTTGTGTATGCAGAT